CGATCTCGGCTCACCGCAACCTCCGCCTCCTGGGTTCAGGCAATTCTCCTGCCTCAGCCTCCTGAGTAGCTGGGATTACAGGTACGCACCACCATGCCCGGCTAATTTTTTGTATTTTTAGTAGAGACGGGGTTTCACCATGTTGACCAGGATGTTCTCGATCTCTTGACCTTGTGATCCACCCGCCTCGGCCTCCCAAAGTGCTGGGATTACAGGCTTGAGCCACCGAATTATTTCTTTAAATACATGTGAGCTGGGAAGCTTTCAAAGGTAGTGCTACTGTGGCAATGAAATACCACCTACAGAAAATCTTATAACAGCAGCCCCTAACATTTTTTGAGCCAGGAACCAGTTTCGTGGAAGACCATTTTTCCATGGACAGGGAGTGGAGTGATGGTTTCAGGAATAAGACTCTTTTAAGGAATGTGCAACTCAGATCCCTTGCATGAGCAGTTTACAATAAGGGTTCACGCTCCTGAGAATCTAATGCTGCTGCTGCCCTGACAGGAGGCAGAGCTCAGGTGCTAATGCTCACTCACCTGCCCGGTGTTCACCTCCTGTATGGTCCAGGGGTGAGGGTTGGGGACCCCTATCTTAAAAGATAAAAGCAGAGCCCTGATTATTCTAATTGGATTCATTACCACAGTCAAGTGAATGTATGTAGAAACACCAAAGTTCAAAATCAAAATCAAGAAATTAAGAAAATGCTGGGTGCAGTGGCTCATGCCTGTAATCCCAGCACTTTGGGAGATTGAGGTAGGAGGATCATCTGAGGTCAGGAGTCCCAGACCAGCCTGGCCCACAAGGTGAATCCCCATCTCTACTAAAAATACATAAATTAGCTGGGCGTGGTGGTGGGCGCCTGTAACCTCACCTACTTGGGAGGCTGAGGCAGGAGAATCACTTGAACCTGGGAGGTGGAGGTTGCAGTGAGCCAAGACCACGTCATTGCAGTCTATCATGGGCAACAAGAGTGAAACTCCGTCTCGAGAAAAAAAAAAAAAAAAAAAAAAAAAAAAAAAAAAAAAAAAAAAAAAAAAAAAAAAAAAAAAAAAAAAAAGAAGGAATCATGGGGTTTTTAGAAACCAAAGGAAGAGTCCACTCACATCTAACTTCTGGACAGAGATACTGTATAAAGACTCATATTGGCACTTGTGGACCTAAATGACATCACAGGTTTCTTCTAGGTCTAAAAGTGTGTGACAAGCTCCTCTGACCCTTGTGAGATCCTGAGAGTAGCAGATCTCACTACACAGGAGAAAACCAACACCGAGAAATTAAGTGCCCCCAAATGTCCAGGAAATCACGAACGACAAAAATACCAGTGTTTTACTTTCCAAGCATCTAAGGAAGGGGAAGATAAATGAATCCACTAGCATTTCCAAGGACTAAAGTTTAAAGGTGCTAAGAGTTTTGCAAACATCCCCTCCTTCAATCTTCAGACAACCCAGTGGGTAAGGTAGAGATCATGATCTCACCATTTTACAGATGAGGAAACCAAGTCACAAAGAGATTGAAGAACTTGCCTAGATTATACAGATTGTGTCTAGAATCCCGGACTGTCATGCCACAGTTAACATCTTGCCATACTCCTTTTTTTTTCTTTTTTTCCAGTAGGGCAAAACAGCTGTTCTGACAATTTTTACTTTGATGATGGAAGGAACTAGGGTTTGTAAATGAAACCAAAGAGGTAATTAGAGCAGTAAACAAACAGCAGACATTCCTGCTCTATGTCCTGGATTCCTATAGTTGGCTGGTGTGGACACCCAGCTTTCACTTTGCTGTTAAAAGCACAGAATGGTGTCAAACTGAAAGCATTTCCAAAATGACTAGTCTTCTTTCAACTACTTTTATATTGAAAGAAAAAGCAAAGTAGACAGCTGTTAAACTATAACTAGACAGTAAATTGGACCAAGGTAAAAACTGTACATAACAAAACAGACTCACATATCTGGAAACCATAAACAAGGGGCTGCTCCATTCCAGACAAATCACATGTCAGGGGGATGTGGCCAGCTACACCTCTTTTCTATCCTAAAGCTTTTTAAAAAAATTTATAAATTTTTATATCTCTTGATATTAGTGAAAAAAAGAACACATACTGCATGTGCTAAGAAATACTGAAGTTGAGGCCGGGCGTGGTGGCTCATGCCTGTAATCCAAGCACTTTGGAGGTCAAAGCGGGCAGATCACCTAAGATCGGGAGTTCAAGACCAGCCTGACCAACATGGTGAAACCCTGTCAAAAAAAAAAAATAAAAATTAAAAAAAAAAAAAAAAAAGAAATACTGAAGTTATTACAAACAAAAAGCAAAAACTCCCCTATTGTCAAGGCTTCCTGCAGCAGTTTACGTTTCATGCTTAAGTCTTGAAGAAAAAAGTTAAGCATGTATTTACTAGCTTTATCCTGTATATTTATATAAAAAAAAAAGAACAGAAGGCTCACTCTGCACACCTTACCTTGCTTTCCTCATCTGACAGTGTATCTCCTGGAGAGGCTTCCTTATCCATACTTGTTATCAGGTTTATTTTTTTTGGACTGGGATATGTAAAACTTTGTGGGTGACTTAGAATTGGGTACTTCTCAGCTTATTTAGCTTTCTTATTCATGAAAGAATTGCTCTTAATAAGCAGGCTACGGACTCCCAAATGACGATAACAGCTACTAACATTACTGCACAGAGGACTGTATTTTTGAATATAAAATTTAAGTCTGAACTCAAACGCTGATTGAATGAGAAAAGAGGGAAAAATGTTCACAAAACTAAATAAAGGAAATACGCATCTTTCCTCAAATGGATCTTAGAAGCCTGGCATCTTATTTGGTTCTGCTATGGCTTCCTCTCTCATAAAAGAACAGGCTGCCAACTCTACGAAACAAAATGATACCCTATTATATGGCATCACCATCAGTGCCTCGTGAACCAATGTGGAGAGCCAAAAGCACGGGAGTGAGGTGGAAGGAGGTCTTGGAGTGCAGTGCTAAGGGTCTGGGCAGGTAGACGCTAGAGGGGGCAAAGGGCAGGACTGATTCCAGAAGCTGACATGGCAGCATTCTGGCTGGTTTGTGAGGTATGGGAAAAGTGACAGAAGTTATGTTCAGTTTTATAACCATGATTCACTCCGAGATTTTCTCAATAATGACTATATTTTTAGTATTAAAAAAAAGTCAAAGGCAAAACATTTTAAGCAAAGGAAGCAGGGTACCTAGAAACCCACATCCCTTCTGTTGTCAAGTGATCAATAATTTCCCACTTTTTGGAGGCCATTTTCTTAAAAAACAAAAACAAAAACCGAAAACGCTAGGCTTGTAGTCAAGTAGTTTTCCTTTTCTCTTAGATTTCCCACAAGTTTTTAAAGCATAAGAAATGTAGTTTCAGGGATGTAACTGAATGACAGACTTGAGTAAAATAATTTACATATGCAGAGTTTAAGAAATAGTACAAGGCTGGGCAAGGTGACTCACACCTGTAATCCCAGCACTTTGGGGAGGCCGAGGTGGGTGGGTCGCTTGAGGTCAGGAGTTCAAGACCAGTCTGGACAGTGTGGCAAAACCCCGTTACTAAAAATGCAAAGAAGTTAGCTGGGTGTGGTGGCATGTACCTGTAATCCCCGCTACTCAGGAGGCT